CTACAAATCAGAAGGCACCGAGGCAAACATTATAGGTGATCATTTCGTTGATGAAAGTTGGTAATACTGTATCGTGCATCACAACGTTTATATAAATAACTATACAGTTTATTCTTGCTCTCTACAAAAGTATAGTTATCGGAAATTTTTTAAATCATGAATGAAAACTAAGTAAATCACAGTAAAATCATGCCAAAATAAAGCCACAAAAAAATCAGTTTTAAATCAAATTTATGATCACGATTGCATCTGACTTTTAAATAACTTTATGACCAGATTATCTAGCTCTTGATTGGATTAAGATGAATGAAGATGACTGTTGATAATAGGGCACGATGGAAAACAGTATATAATATGACCAATTAGGTAAGACATTAATCACTTGAGATTCAAACAGAGCGGTTTACAGGCAATGTAGTTATAAACAAAATGAAAACACATCATGGTAAATGAAAACACATCATGGTAAATGAAAACACATCATGGTAAATGAAAACACATCATGGTAAATGAAAACACATTTTGAACTTGTATGAAAAAGAAAACATGAGGACTGAAAAGAACTTATGAACCTGTATGAAAAAAAGAAAGAATGAATTACTAAAAACTGCTGTCAAGCAGTTAAACAGTGTGAGGTTCTGACTATGATCAGTGAAAACAAGTTTTGAAAATACATGTTTTTTAGTTTTAGTAGAGGTTTTACGGCGCTCGCAACTGCATAAGGTCATATGAGCGCCAGAAGACTAGAGGTGTTACAAGAGAGTAACAAACATAACAAAGAAGAAGGGGGAGATAAGGACGATAGATGTTTGATAGGAAAGAAGGAGCAAACCACACCAGAGCACCCGCCAATCACCCACAAATACATGTTTTAAAGTACATGTATGTTATATAAAAAAGACTTAGAACTAGATCAGAATGTTGAAAATATGTCGGCACACACAATATAGACCAAGACTGGCTTATGGTTTGTCCCTTATGGGAAAACACAAGTGGTTTGGAAAAGTATCACCAGAGAAGAAGATTTCAGGGAATTGTGCTGTTTCATCAGGACGTCTAGTTGTGAGACACATCTCTTGCCACATGGAGGATGTCTAGTTGTGAGACACATCTCTTGCC